ATCTTTAAAACAGCTGTGTGCAAAGGTGACATATTTTGTGCTGTGATGATTATTTTTTGTTTTCACAGCTTTTAGTCAAGTCTTCCTCCGACAACTTTAGGACGCAAAAGCACTTAGTAGTCATAAGCTCAAATAATGAAAAGTTTAAGAAGCACTAAGTGAGTGTATTAAAAAGATACTATTCAAAATGAAAGATCTGATCACCTTTATTCTTGTATGAAGGTTATATAGTAGTTATCCAGACCGTAGAACTTGATAAAAATGATTTATTGACTACAAAAACAAAATATATATATATATAAAACATCTATATGGAAGCCTTTTACCGTTTTCTAAAATGAAGCTTTCAACTTGCTGTACTGAAATCTCAAAAACCCACATAATCTCAAAAGTGAAAAGAGTGAAGTTATTTTACTGCTCTGTGTTCTTGTCTATCAAGAAGCTATCTACTTCCATTGATAGACCCCTCCTCAGCCTAACGGAGAGCTCTATTGTCACTTTAACTAGTGAACTCACAGCACAGGAAGGGAACAACTCAGTACTTAAGGGTTATCTAGTATGGAAAAAAAAAAATTACTGCTGCCAAATACTTGCAAATTGTATTGGTTTCATATAGAGAACTGGCAAATAGCAGATCCTGGAAGTCAGCTTATAATATCTGTATGCTATGAACTGCCTGTTGCACTGGGAGGCCTAAAAATAAACGTGAACATTTAAATGGAAGTCAGGACAACCTAGTGTGATTCAGAATACAAAGAGCAAGAGAAAGGCTGGACCTGGTCACTGGGGCTGCATACAACACTTGAGTCCATGACAAGAAGCACTGAAATCATTCAAATAAGACGCACTTAGAAGCTTATTTTTAGGTGACAAGCCTATTGCATGCTCTTGAAATAAGATATGAAGCTTCAAAAACTGTAATGTGCTCATTTGACTTTCATTGACACCTGAGAAAGACAAGAAACCTTTTAGCATCACTTTGTACCTTTTTAATAAAATAATCAGTTGTTAAAAAAAAAAAAAAATTCAAGACTGGAAATGTGTGTCACCAGCTGTTTCTGATGTATAGCTCAAGGCTGTGAGTTTGGTGTTTTCTCACCAAACACTGGGAGTCTTGTATCACACTTGATGAAACAACAGTAGCCCCTATCATCGCATTAGTGGCAAATTGAGTGAGAAGCAATGAAAGCACCTCAATTCTCCTATATACCATGAAGTTAAGGAGCACCTTTACTCCAAAATTAGGGATGTGTCCAGCACTATGTTGTGTTCTTGTCCTTCCAATCCTTGGGTTTCCAAATGAAATGCATGAATGTTTGTTGTCTCATGGCCATGTGAGTCTCTTTGATAAGAACCTTCAAGAGCCCCCTTACACTAAAGAAAAAATGTCTCTTTATTGTTTATCTTCCCATTTCTGCTGACCGATGGCACCCCATCCTTGATTTAAAAAAAAAAAAAAAAAAAAAAAAAACAACTTTTAAAATTATCCTTAAGTTTCTTTATCTTAACATAAGCTCATGTAAAACGGATGTAAAGTATGGCTTGCCTTGTAGTGCAAAGCAGTCATTACCAAAAGAAAATTCTAACTAGGCCTTTGAATTCATGTGTGTATTTCTTACTTTGAATTCAATAATTGTGCCTACTTGAAGAATGATATTACCATTATTTACCACAGCCATATTGTAAAGAAGAAGAAAAATTGAGAAATTGGGTGGTGACACACTGGAATAGATTGCCCAAGGAGGCTGTGGATGCCCCATCCCTGGAGGCATTCAAGGCCAGGTTGGATGTGGCTCTGGACAGCCTGGGCTGCTGGTTGGTGACCCTGCACACAGCAGGAGAGTTGAAACAAGAATTTTTGAGATTTTTTTCAACCCTGGCCATCTATGATTCTATGGTGATTCTATGAAAAAAAAATCTGTTTTTCCACGGGTGAAATATACTTCGCGCACAAAAAAATAGCAGAAGCCAGGATTGTGTTCCTAATCCTACACTTGATTTATTACATCAAATATTTTTGATATTTATTTCCTCATTTGTATTAGTCACAAGAAGAAATTCATTCTGGTCTTATTTTTTTTTTAATGCACAATAAACATGTTTGTTCATTTTGACTTTTTCTTGCTTGAATTTTAAGAACAGCATTTCAGTGTGTAAGACTAACAGAGGTGCAGTTCCACAGAGAGTTGAAGTTGTCTTCTGTTTAATCATAGTCATTTGTTCTTACCCAGAAAAACAATGAACATAAAATAAAAGAAAGAAAATGAATAAATACCCAAATCAGGTGGGGGGGTGGGGCGGGGGATATGGTGGAAGCGCATAGATTGAGAGCACTGCATTTCCAGTACAGGAAAAGAAAAATGGTCCCCTTGTATGCAACTAATAATTGCTGGTGCTTTGCTCCTCCTACTTCCTTCTCTGCTTTGATACTAATTTAGTCAAAATAACACAATAACAATAATTATCTCTTTCCTGGACCTGGAAAGAGATTCTTCATTCTTATCAACACAGTGGTAAAATATGTTTTACTCCTTGCCCTACTTATATTTTATCCTTCTTAAGTGCAATCTTATATTGCTATTATCCTAGTTCAAAAGAATTTTTAACTCGGTGTGTTTATGCACATACATGTATTACTTTTGTGCAACTATTTGATTCTTGATAACTCAGGCACGCAGGAGGATATCTTAAGGCTATCCAAATTTTCTTAAGTTTTCAGTATGAAAAGTTCATTCCTATGTGACAATAAGGAAAGACATTTTCATCTTAAAGGGAGTAATTTCCTCTGCTCTTGCCTGGGCTAAGTAACATAACTGCAGCTGGGATTTTCTCCAGCTACAGAGATCAGGTGTTCCCTCAAACTCACAAGCTAACTAAAGACACCATCCTGGATAAGAATATCAGTGAGAGTTCTGATACTGAACTTTTTGTTTTCTCTAAAGCAATACATCATGTTCAAGTACTAACCTCATCTATTAAAAAAAAAAGTGTGGTTTTAAGTGAAGAATTCTTCCTATCTACTATGCATTTACAACATGGGGAGCTGCATAAAGAATTTTATTTTCTTTTGAAGTATATAATAAAAGCTGTAAGAAATGAGAGCATTAGTTGTATTTCCTGTTGTTTACTAAAGATTATGTAAATTCTGATTTTTTTTGTTTGTTTGTTTTATGTATCTCTGCTTCATATTTGCTGTGTCTGTAGGGAGAAGACTAGTTGCTTCACAGAAATTAATGGAAGAGAGTACCAGTATATGGAGAAGACAAACTAACAGAAGCATTTTGATCAATGTATTGAGTTGAATTCTGTGCCTCATAAAGCTTTACACTTCCTCCTGGCTTGGAGTGGTTGAAAGAAGTAAACTTTAAACAGAGAGTACTAAAACACTCATGCTTTTTACGATGTCACAAACCTAGGAAAGTAACTAGAGTAGAAACAACAACAAACATATAAAAAAGCTATCCATCTCCATAAAATATTTTCTATCAAATCTTAAATGCCTCTTCAATTTCTAGGAGTCCTTCTATTAGTTTGGATTTAGAAGAATATCTATAAAATATGTCTGTAATCTAAAGCTAAGAGTTTAGAACAAGAAACAGTTATGCTATGTTTACCTACCCAAAGCATTATTACCTGCAACTTTTACCTACTAATATTCTTTAGTTGCCCTCTTGGTCAGAAAAGTTATGAAAATGCTTTGGAACGAGTCTATCTCCAGAATGTTTGTAGCAGTAGATTTTCTTACTAGTGATTTACTAACATGGATTAAAACTAGGTTGAGATGTGATGAATAGGACAACACCAATCTGAGATCATCTTAAAATTGCAGACTGTCATCTACTGAAGTCAGATATTTCCCCAAGGAAAAGTTCATCCGTTTGTGCAAAAAAGGTCTTGAGAGAGGGTGCAAGAATGGGGTGTTAGGAAAAATAAATCTGTTAAAAATTATGACTTTAATCTGCACATTTGTGTATGCATGATACAGTTAAACATGATGAAACAGAAGTACTGTAAACCTGCTGCTTTGCTATTTATAAGCACATTATTACACAGGCTGCTGTGAAAACCCAATATTTTTGATGTTTTCCTTTAGACAAATTACAGGCTGTATTCTAGGCTCATGAGATCCACCTGTTTTAGTGATGTTTCACATTATAACAAGGATTTTGTGGAATAAGGTGATACAGGTCGTCATATCCTAAAATTTCTGAAGATTGTATATTGATAAATGAACAAATCTATTACCGGAATTTCTTTGTTTCGTTCTGCAGATTTACAATAATGCAGCACTATGAGTTCAGGTTCTTCTGTAATTCTTTTTTTCTTAATTCCAACTAGAGGAAAAAAGTTTTGTTAAATGCACAGCCAATGAACGGTTCATAGATTGCTAATAAAAGGATACTGCATGACCCCTCAAGTAATAGAGACTGTGAATCATGCTGGGAAGAGCTCATGCAGTGAATTTATTTTTATTTACTTTTTTTAGCACCCCAGAAAATCCTCTTCCGATGATGGTAAGACTGGGCTGAACAATTCTAAAGTCTAACACTGCCTTTCCAAAGAAATGGACTTGCTTAGTGGTTGCCATAATACGTTCTACCTAGAGGAGGTTTTTACACTCTGCCCTCCACATTCATGATGATCATTTTATTTTTATCAGTGGATGCAATTGATTTATGCAAAATCTCTCCTTTAAGAATATAATTTCCTCTAGGTTTAACAAGTTCTGAAAGTGTTGTGTTTGCTAACCAGGAACAAGGGCATCCACTACCACCAGGATGATTCATTAAGTCCGTTCCCAGCTGTCTTCCCTGGAGACGGATTTGCCATATGAAATGTATTGGCCAGAACAGCAGCCTGCTTCCTGCTGGTATAGACAATATCTTTCTGAATCCAACAAACGTTTATTTGGCATGCTGGTAAAAGGCAACAGGTCCCTTAATGAAAACAAACAAACAAACAAACCCCTAAAAAAAAAGAAAACAGACACCAGAGCAGCCTTTATTCCTCAGGAGTTTTCCTCCAAATGCTTTTATTTCTCGTTACAGCTCTTTCCAGCCCTTGGTCCTGTCTCCAGTTTGCAAGTATTTTGTTCCACAGTTGTGTACAGAGGAGAATCAGTGAACAAAATCAGCCACAATCTGACCATGTGGAAAAACACGTTTAAAAGCATGAATAGGAAGCAGAATCTAGCAAGGTCTTTAGTAAACATAGGCTTGTCCCTACCATTTAGAGATGCCACCTGGCTGGTTTCTAACCAGCCTGTCTGGTCTCACTTGCGTGCCCCAGATCTGTCAGAGCTATTAGGTGTGCACACATCGGGTCTGTATGCTGTGTGCCTTCAGGGAGGGTGGATGTTTGTTTTTCTTTCCTACGGGCTGGCCGGCCTGACACTATTTCACACTCCTTTATCTGACGTAACAGTGCAATGCAGGGCACTCAGCGTGCTGCTGGGACTCGGCAAAGCCCTGCTGCAGACCGGCAGCAGGTGGGTACGGCAGCAGCAAAACGCCGAAGCGGCGATTGAACGGGCGCTCTGCCGCCCCGAGCGCGGCGCCCTCTGGCGGCTGCGGCAGCGCGCCCCCTCCCCCCGTCTCCGCCGCTCTCGCGAGATCTGGACGTGGGCGGGGCGCGGGCAGTGATTGACGGACGCGCGGCACAGCGGCGGCGCCATTGTGTGGTAGGTTGAGGTGGCGGGCGCCGTTCGGCCGTCTGCGGTCCGGTCCGGCCTCTCCGGTGGGTCTCCAATGCTCGTGTCGCGAGGGCCTCGCCCGTGAAAGTGAGTACGAGCCTTATGGTCTCGAGGAGGGGAGGGCGTCCCCGTGCGGCCCAGCTCTTGCCCCGCGCGTCGGGCTGGGGCCGGGAGCTCGCGGAACCATTTTGTCTCGGTGTCCGCCCGGCTCCTCCCTCCTCCCTTCTCTCTGCGGCCGCCGCTGATGGGCGCGCGCCTCCCTGGGCCGCGTCGCGGTGTGGCAGCCGGGCCGCTCCGCTCCTCGCCTCCCTCCGGGGGGCCGCCGTCCCACGGAATTGGAGCGGGGCGCTGCGTGCCGCCTTTCGGCCGGCTGCGAGCCGCCGCTTGGCGCTGTCGCCCGCTGGCCTCCTCGTGACCCCCGGCCCGCGGAGTGCCAAAGCGAACTGCTGCAGCGCCTGGTGCCGTGATCTCGGGCCGCCTGGGACGCTGCTGAGTTCTTGTCGGCCTTCTTGGCTGGAGGCTGGGGAAAATCCTGACCGGAGTTGCACAGACTGATGAAATTGACCCTGAGCTCCGTCTTGCTTGGCGCTCTAAACGTCTTCTGATGAAACATGCGGAACACACGGTCACAAATTGGTTGTGCAACAATCTTATGAACTACTGTGTGTCAGAGCGCACTAAAATCTCTCGCCCTAAAAGCTGTAGGCGTTGGCTGAAGCATCGCTATGTAGTGCTGAGGTAGACTGAATTTCTGAGCTGGAAATGAGGTATGTGCAGCTCATAGTGGGGACGCACGAACGTGCTAAGCTATTGCGTGGCAGCTAGGAAGACTTCACTTTCTAGTAGATGTGAGTATGTCCTATTGCCTCTCATTCCTCAGTAGGTGGGGTTAAGGTGGCAGAGAAGGAGGAGTGAGAGGCTTTTATTCTAAATATTTGCTGTGTTATTTTTACCTTTTCAGGTTACACTACTGTCCTGCAAAGAACTGTTGATGTTTTAAATTTTCTGTTGCATCTATTGTGGCTAGGTTGGATCTAGTTGGTCTTTTATAATGTAGTTGTAAGTATGGCGGGTGAAGAAGGAAGGGGTGTTGGAGCTGTGTACTCAGTCGCACCGCCTAATCTGAGTACACAGCGCAACTCCTCTCAGATATGAGGTGGTCATTTCTTTTCCATGCATAATTTTAAAGGCAAAAGTTTAATTTTAGTACTGTTTCTTTCCTTTTTTTTTTTTTTTAAACCTTGAGAGTTTTGAGATGCATCAGAAGACTTTATTAGTGGTAGATTATCTCTAATTTAATTTAAAAAATCTTCTAACTTATTCCACTGCTGTTGTCTTCCCCTGTTCATTTAGATGCTAATTAATGTGTGTACAACCCTTTGGCTTGCATGGGCCTCGTTGAGTGAAGAGGAATTGCCATGTATAAAATTGCACTATGCATAAAATATATAGTTAATGCATTTACGTAACGTAGCTTCATTCGCGATTTTTTAAAAATTAAAATATTGGAAAAAGAGAGCAACAAGAAAATAAAGCTAGTTGGATGTGAGACTGTTTTTGTGAAACTAGTGCATCGGTCTGGTTCGGTGGAAATAGCTGCAGTTCTTGGTGAGCTCCCAAGGTGTTTGTCAGAGATTTCTTATGAAATTTTACTCTTCCAGTGCTTCATTGTTGAAAACAGTTGTTCACAAATGTGGGTACTGCTAAAAGCAATGACGTGAGTAAGGTGTGATTGTGAAGCAAGGGATATCTTTCTCTGGTAATAGGGCTTATTAAAGTCCGATAAAGAGGCATGATCAAATATTTAAGTTGAACATATGATTGCACCTCCATGCATTCCACTTGAAGATTTGCAGATGATGTATATATGTCAATTGAAAATGGATTTGTCAATTGAAATGGATGACCTCTGTGGCAATCTTGAATTTAAATTCCTTCATCAAAACTGCAGGCGTGACAGCATATTTTTTTGTGATTCACTGGACTGTGTTTAGCCAAAGTATCAAAATGCATAATATTATTTGCCATAACCTGAGTCAGTGCTGCGTCCTCCCCATGCCCTGTTTTCAGCTCAGACAGTAGTCACTGCGCTTCCACGTGTGGTTGTTATGGCTGATGGAGGCCAGGCCTGTCCGATGGTGGGGCGGAACTGCTGCCATGATGGTGTGGAGCAGGGGATGGCAGCAGGGCAGGCTGTGCCAGGCAGCATGCAGCTGCGGATTGCATACACCTCTGCTAATTCCTGCTGTAAGGAGCTTCCTTCCTTTTATCTGGAACTTCTGTGTATTTTCTGTCTGTCTGCCTCTAACTTTCTACTTGTGTTATTTAATTCACCAGGTTCCACTTATATCCAGAAGCAGAATGATCCATAACCAATGTGATTGTTCAGATGCTCTGTGTCAGAAAAATTGGATCACTTAATCTGTCTGCTTGTCCCTTGCTGCCTTGTCCTTTGTGTTTTGTGTCAACGTAAAATGTAGACAAACTGTTTTGAATGTCAAGTCTCAAGACCAGCAGTCGTCCTGTACCACTTAGACCCTTGTATCTATTGCTGTGACATGGGATTCATTTAGTTTCAAAGTTTGCAACTTGAATAGTTACTTTTTCACACCTGGTGTAGCTTAGGGCCTGTACTAGGTTTGCAGTGCATGTGATGGCAGATTACTCTGAAGTTTAAATTAGCAATCGTTACGGTATCTTCATTAATGTTACAAATACTTTAAAAATGTGATTCTTATGTATTATTGGGCAGATGACCCATAGAAAGTGGTGTAGCTTACATTATTGAATTTGTTAATGAATTTCTTAACTCACATGACTGACAGCCTTCTTTTGGGGTGTGAAGTGCTGCCCAGAGCATTCTTATTGATACGACTGTTTGTGCAAGTTTGAGAATTACTCAAATGTGCTGTTGTCCATTAGTATTTCCTTATGGGTTTAAATGTGATTGGAGAAGCTTAGCCTTCATGACTTTAAGTTCCTAATCCAAGGTTAGGTTAGTGAGAAATGGAAGTTCCTAAACTGATCTCACTTAACCAAATATGTAAGTGTATAGGCTGAGAATGTTTGAAGTGTAGTTTAGTAACTGGTGTGCCGCTCTGTGGTACAACCCAGTAATTCTTTGTACCATCTGAAAATCCACCTACGTTTACCTAACTATTGGCTTAAATGTTCATTTAAAGCATAGCAAAATCATGAGATGTTTCAGTTTTGTATTTTATTTTGAAATGAGCTCTACTTGCATGATTAAGCTTTTAGGCTATTTTAGGGTGTGAGTTTTGTAAACCTAGTGGCTGAACATGCACCAGAGAAGTGGCTTCAAAACCTTCATTTGATGAAAACAGTAATCTAATTTGCAGCTGTTCAACTGTTTGATCAGTGGACTTATGTACAAACTAATTTGTACTGGGAATGTGTTGAATAGTCCTGAGTACATGAACTCAGCTGGGAGCTGCAGCTGGATGCAAGATGTGTCAGGATTGCAGTAGTTTTTTGGAGACTGTGATACTAAATGTGAAGAAATAATTGGGCTTTATTGATTGATAATTTTTTCCTGATATATTCTGATTGCAATTTTCAGAAGGCTAGATCAGAATTAACAGTGGTTAATACTTCTGCAAATTGCCTCGCTCTGCCATCTGTTTTCAGAGTTGTTAGCTGTCACACAACCCTTTCTGCAGCACACCACTGGCAACGCTGGGATTGTCTGCAATGTATTTACTTTTTTGTGGTGCGATTATATCTGTCCTGTTCTGAGGAGGAAGAATATGGAAATATTAGCAAGCTGGTTATCCACCTATCTAAAGCTTTTGAGCAGTATTAGGTCAAAATATCCTTTCAAAGAAAAGAATGACCCACAAAACCACTTCTCATTTGATAAAGGCACCAGTGTTTATTTTGAGATGCCTAGAAATACAAAAAGAACAAGTATGCCAACTGTATTGTGGGTTGCATCAAGAGGAGTGTGACCAGCAGGACAAGGAAGGTGATTCTGCCCATCTGCTTTGCTCTCGTGAGACCCCACCTGGTGTACTGCATCCAGTTCTGGAGCATCCCACACAAGAAGGACATGGAGCTGTTGGAGCAGGTCCAGAAGAGGGCCACAAAGATGATCAGAGGGCTGGAGCACCTCTCCTGTGGGGCAGGCTGAGAGAGCTGGGGTTCTTCAGGCTGCAGAAGGCTCAAAGGAGACCTTACAGCGGCCTTTCAGTACCTGAAGGGGCCTACAGGAAAGCTGGGGAGGGACTTCTTATAAGGGAAGTTATAGTGACAAGCAGTCTCTGTGACAGGCAGGTAGAGGTAGGATGAGGGGAAATGGTATTAAACTGGAAGAGGGCAGATTTAGACTAGATGTCAGCAAGAAATTCTTTACTGTGAGGGTGGTGAGACACCGGAACAGGTTGCTCAGTGATATTGTGAATGCCCCCTCGCTGGAAACAGTCAAAGCCAGGCTGGATGGGGCTGTGAGCAAGCTGGTGTAGAGGGAGGTGCCTGCCCCTGCCTACCACTATCCTCCCCCACAGGGCAACTAAATGATCTTAAATGTCCCTTCCAACCCAAAACATTCTGTGATTCCAAGTACATACTTCAGAGTCAAACGAAAGTTTATTGTATAATATGAGACAG